AACAAACGTACCACGGCGATAACTCTTGCCTCCATCAATTTTAAATCACATATTCATGAAAAATGGTCTCGACCCCTCACCGATATAAGTCAAACGATTTTAAAAATAAATACTACTTAATGGCTAATCATGCTTGTGGCACCGCGACAGACCGAAGTTCTTCTCAATATTCCAACGATAGCTTGAGATGTTTGCATAAAAATTATTCATCATTTTGCAGCTATTGTTCTTGACAATCAGTGGGGATAGAGTGGAAATTCGCGGATGTTTTTTTCTAGAAGAAGTCAATCGTGATAACAACCAATTCATGCAACCACATTTCAGAAATATATTCATACAAAAACTACGAGTTGTAATAAGCTTTTTGACAGGTAGAGTGGACTCAAATCAGTGAGAATTCTCATCAGGCTGTGTTGTTGCCACGTAAATCAGACAACAGGTCCTAGCTCCTTAGGTCGTTTACTACTAACACTGAGGCGTTAAAAGAGTTTTTATGCCAACGCTTTGAAATAAAGTAGAATCGACGGACTGAAAATTCAGCAGTGCCTGTGTTATTACCACATATAACAGATATGTAGTTTTTACTATTTCTTTATTTATCTATTTGTTTTCTCAAAATGTTAATTCTAAACATCAGTTCAATATAACACGATATAAAATATTTTTTGCGCGATAAGTGTTTTAAAAAATATTTAAAACAAAATAGAATTAATTCAGGTAACATTCTCACCTGTGTTATTTCCAGAGATAATAGACATTTTGTGTTCAACTCCTTCTATTTCCAGTACTTTGAATTCTCTTCGGGTAAAACCTAAAAGTCCTTCAAGGTGGCGGAAGCACAAGGAGAATAAAAGAGATTTTTTTGTCATTTGTGTAGATATTAAATTATAAATTGTTAAGAGATATGGCGACAAAAAATAGCAGGTATGGCTAAAACGGTTATCCATCTGCCGACCTACATAACTGCACGTTCGCAAGAAAAAAAAAAGCCGAATCGACGAACGACTGTAACATATGTTGAGCATCCCAGTAACTTGAGCAAAGACAATCGATACATTTCTTACCTTAAACTCATTATATTGGAATAAGATATCACAGCTGAATCAGAATAAAG